CTTCATGGATGATGTGTAGAGGTCTGACCACTGCACTGTACATCTGAAGCTGCCATTGAATAATATTTATGTCAACTATAATTTAATACATATATAGTCATGGGATATGGAGTATAGTGTGGGAATTGAGTCAATGGAATTGTAATAGATATGTATGATATTGGGGGTGGGGGGATTGGATGGGAGAGGGAGGTTGTCACTTTGTGAAGGGTGAAAAGGATAACTATTGCATTATTTTGTACACCTGAAACCAATAATAATAAAAAAAATAGATTGTGGGAGCACAGAGGAAGGAGTTACTATTTTATTGTATTTAGGGAGGCTGAGGAAAGCTTCTCAGAGAAACTGATATGTAAATTATATCTGAAAGCATTTTACCAAGGAATGAATGGGAAGACCATTTCTGCCTGTGCAAAGGTCTCTCCTAATTCAAATTTCTTATACTTCTACTATCTTGTAAGAGTTCTTTGAAAGTAAACCTCATTAATTTAATTTGCAGGTAATTTGAAAAGATTCTGTAGGTAGTCTTTCAATAGAATGTATGAAACATTAAAAAGTTTGAGGTCTACCTAAATGTACTGACATAAAAAGGTGTCGATGTACTGTTTAGTAAAAAGCAAAATATGTACAGTATGTATAGTGTGATTCCATTTGTGTAAATTCATATACTCACAAACACACACACATACTTATAAATGAATAATGTATAAAAAAACACCAGGAAAGAATATACAAAACATTGTTTACAGTAGTTAATTCAATGGAGAATGGAAGGAGAATGAATTTTGAGGATCAGGGAGGTGACTTTAAAATTTTTTAAATAAATTTTATTTAGTTATGATTTACATCAATAAAATACATGCATTTCAAGTATACACTGTTTTATTTTTGACTATTATATACACTTTGTGTAACCAACACCACAATCAAGATACAGAACATTTCCATCACTCCACCCCACCTCAAACAGCCTTGTATTTCTTCCTATTTAATTCCCACCTTTGGCACCAGGCAACCACTTATCTGATTTCTGTAACTATAGATTAGTATTTTCTAGAATTTCATATAAATTAAGTCATACAGTATGTACTCTTTGGGGCCTGGCTTCTTTTGTTTAGTATAATGTTTTTGAGATCTATCCATGTCATAATGTGTATTAGTAGTTCAAATCTTATTATTGCTATCACTGAGTATTAGTCATTTAATCCTCTTTATTGCTATCCTGTATATTACAACTGTATATGAAATTGACATATCCTATTACGTGGGTACACCACAATTTATTTATCTATTCACTTGTTGATAGACATTTGGTGTTATTTCCAGTTTTTGGCTATTGTAAACAAAACTGCTATGAACATTTGCATATATGTCTTTTTGTGGACCTAAGTTTTAATTTCCCTTGGGTAAATATCTCAGAGTGGAATGTTGGGTCTTATGATAAATGCATATTTAACTTTTAAGAAAACACAAAACTTTGTTTTCCAAAATCATTGTGCTACTTTAGCTCCCCACTAACAATGTATGTAACAATTGTTACATATGTAATATGTAATAACAATGTAACAAAGTTGCTCCATATTCTTGCCAACATGTTGTTGTTGTCATTTTCTTTTTAAGTGCGTAGTAATATCTTGTGGTTTTTATTTAATTTATACACACACACACACACACACACACACACACACACACACATTGAGTACAAGCCCTTTGTCAGATATATGTTTTGTGATTATTTTCTCTCTTGCATTTTCATTTTCTTAATGGTAATGGTATCTTTTGAAGAGTAAAATCTTTTAATTTTGATGAAATCCAAGTTATCAAATATTTTATGGTTTGTGGTATTTATATTTTATCTAAAAAATCTTTGCCTACCCTAAGTTTGCACAGATTTTATTTTTTTTCCTAGAAGTTTCATAGTTTTAGCTTCTGATCCATTTGAGTTAATTTTTGTGTATGGTGTGAGATATGGGTTGACTATTTTTTCCAGTTGTTCCAGCACCAGTTGTTGAAAAGTTTATTTTTTTCCATTGAATTGCCCTGGCATCTTTGTCAAAAATCATTTGACCATATAGATGTAGGCCTATTCTGGATTCTCTATATTGTTACATTGATCTATATGTCTACCCTTATGCTAATATAACATTCTCTTGATTCATGTGTCTTGATTCTTGATATAAGATAGGTAAATTCTCCATCTTCATTCTTAACTTTCAAAGTTGTTTTGGCTATTGTAGGACTTTTGTATTTCCATATGCATTTATAAATCAGGTTGCTGATTTCTACAAAAACTGCCTGCCCAGATTTTGATTGGGATGGCATTGAATGTATAGATCAATTTGGCAGAATTGACAATTTAACAACATTAGATCTTTCAATACATGAACATGACATATCTATTTATTGATGTGTACCTTAATTTCTCTCAGCAATGTTAAATTTATCCCAAAATATTTCATGTTTTTTGATGCTATTGTAAATGTTTTTTTAACTTAAATTTCTGATTGTTTATTGATAGTATATGGAAATATAATTAATTTTAGTGTACTGAGTTTGTATCTTGCAACTTTGGTAAACTCATTTAGTTGTTTTCTTTTCTTTTTTTTGGTAGATCCCTTAGGATTTTTTATGTATGTAATGATATCATCCATGAGTCAAGACAGTTTTATTTCTTCCTTTCCAATCTGTATGCTATTAATTCTTTTTCTTGTCCTGTTGTATTGGCTAGGACTTCTAGGGTGGTAATTAACAAAAATGGTGAGAGCATAACTCTTGCCTTGTTCTTCATCTTAGCAAAAGCATCCAATATTTAACTATTAAGCATGATGTTAGTTACAGGTCTTTCATAGATGGCTTTTTTCACAGTGAGGAATTCCCCTTTTATTCCTAGTTTGCTGAGAGTTTTTATTATGAGTATTGAATTTTTCGCTTCTATTGGTATGACGGTGCTTTTTCTTTATATTGTTAATATGGTGTGTTATATTCATTCATTTTTGAATGTTAAACTAACCTTAAATTCTTGGGGGGTAAATCGCAATTAGTAAAGGTGTATTGTGCTTTTTACACATTGTTGGATTTGATTTTTTGGTATTTTGTTAAGAAATTTTGCTCATGAGGAAATATTGGTCTATAATTTTCTTATAATATCTTTGTCTGGTTTTGATATCAAGGTAATGATTGTTTCATAAAAATTAGTTGGGAAGTGGTTTTTCTTCTCCTGTTTTCTTAGAGAGTTTGTATAGGATTTATACTATCTTTTTCTAAAATGTATGATCAATAGTGAAGCCATATGGGTCTGGAGTTTTCTTTTTGGGAAGGTTTTAGTTATGAATTCAGTTTACTTAACAGACATAGGACTATCCAGCTTTTTTACATCTTCTTGAATTATTTTAGGTAAGTTGTATATATCAATGCCCATTTCACTTAAGTTATTGATTTGTTGGCATTAAGTTACTCATAATAGAGATGTGGGCTTTCACTTTTCATTTGATACCCTTCTATGCTCTTTGAATTTTTTGCAAAGTATATGTAGGGTCTTGAAATTGGGAGAAATGGCCAAATTAATAAATGATTAGATTTAAATAAAAAGTTTGCATTATTCAACAATGATTATTACCTACTATGTGAAGGGCATTATACTGGGTGCTGAAAAAGCAACGTTCTTGCCTTAATGGAGCTTACACTATAGCAGGAGCTACTTGAAATATAGTTTCACATTAGGTACAACAAAAAGGTCTACCAGAAACAAATGGAAGCATTAGAGAAAACTCATCTAAAGGACTTCGCAAAGTCATAGAGGAGGTATTATTTGAACTGATGTATGAATGTATTAGTTTGCCAAATTGACAGGCTAGGGGAGAGTGTTTTAGATTTAATGCATGCAAAGGTATGAAGAATATGGACAATTCAGGAAATCAGCAGTAGTTGAGGCTTATTGAAATTTTAAGTGAGCGTTTGTTGGGGGTTTTTTATTCGTTTGTTTTTGTTTCAAATCTTAGGTCTCTTTCTATGGCTTTAATATTGAGGTCATATATCCCATGGTAATGGATAGACCATTAACCATTTCCTATTGATAAGCATTCATGTTGTTTCCATTTTTTTAACTATTACAAACAATGCTGTAATATACATTGCACATACTTTTTTGTGCATATAAAAATTTCTCTAAAATACCTATTAGTAGATTTTCTAAATTGAAGGTTTGGTGCCATATTTTGATCAATTCTCAAATTTTCCCTCAAAAATACTGTACCAATTAACAGTCAGGCAAACAGTCTATGAGGGTAGCCAATTCTCCACATCCTTGCCTGGGATAGATGTTATAATTCTTTTTGAATTTTAAGATATTATTTTGCTATTTAGACAAATTAGAGACAGGTTTTCAATAATCAATATAATGAAGTGGTGAAGACCATTATTGTTGTACTCAGACAGGCTTGAGTTTTATCTCGGTTTTGTCATTTGCTATCTGTGCTAATTAAAGACGCTGTTGTGGAAAATATAAGCGAAAAAAGGTGCTATTAGGCAATTAATCAGGCTAAGCAATTTTAAAGTTTAGAATCTGGACGGTTAAAAATCCAAGTCTACGACTGGATCATGCATGTCCTGTAAGTACCCAGCTGGGGATTATCGATGTGCGGGCACCCCTTTTCTGCCAGAAAACTATGGTTAAGAAGTGACTCTTGGAAGAAAAAATTTCGTCAGGTTTCAAGTTCCCTCATCCTCCCAGAGCATCGCAGGCACCTGCCGGGAGCAAGATGGCGCTTTCCCTCATTACCTCTCGGGGATGGAGATTTCCATATCGTGCATCACGCACTGGGATGGCATCTTTGCCATTACTCAAGATGGTGAGCCACGTAGCCTCACCATTTCCAGGTTTCAATATGGCTTCCCCAACTCCCGCCACCGGAGGTCAAACTCAGGAACGAAGATAAACTGGCGCGGAAATAGCGTAAGCGGAAGTTGTCATGCACCGCAACTCCCCGCCCCTATGTCCCTCCCCCGTTTCTACGCCCCGCCCCTGGTGGCGCGGAGAGCAGAGGCAAGATGGCGGCCGAGTTGGAGTACGAGTCCATCCTGTGTGTGAAACCCGACGTGAGCGTCTACCGGATTCCGCCCCGGGCCTCCAACCGCGGTTACAGGTACCAACCCCGAGGCACTGCAGCATACGCGTACCCGGTCGGGGAGGACAGTTCCCTTCTCAGCTCGCTGCTCGTCCCTGCCAGTGCCAACTCGGAGTTGTCACTTTGCTAGCCTCCCTACCTGGGCTGTTATCGCCCTATCGTCCTGTTCTTACCCCACTCTGGACTGCCATCACCTTTGTTTCCTCCGCTTTAAAAAAATTGCCATCCTGCATCTTCCCATGTCTCGTCCCCTGGACCCCTCTGGGTTCCCCATCCGTTCCCCATCATCCACATCCAGTCGTGCCTGCTCCACCGTTAGTCACCTTTCCTTCGCTCTTCCCTGCGTCCTTCAGTTTGGCACCCTCATCCCCACCCCCACATTTCCAATACCCCGTGCACATGTGTGGATAACCTTTGTGTTGTTGGACCCTCTCTGGATGATCCAGTTTATCTTTTATGCTGTTGTCAGTCATGGCAGCAAATATCATCCACCATTTGGTTTTCCCTTCACCTCTTTTGCCAGTGGGCAAAGGTTATCATAGGTTTTCCAATGGTTGTCCATACTGTTTCTTTTCAACATATTTTCTTGATGATTATATAGTATTTTCTATCTTCCTTCCCTCCTTCCACTCTTAACTTATCTATAGCTTTTCCCTCCAGAGTTAACGCTGCCTTTTTTCTGTAGGGCTAAATTTATGTTGTAACCTTGTAATTCAATGACTGAGTGTCTGGAGATGCTGTAGGAAGTCATGAAGTCCTGTAATGCAAAGAGTTAACGTGTAACTCACTGTGTTACATATTAAAAAGATATGAATATGGGCCCTGGCAACTTAACAGCTGCATGATTTGGGACAAATCTCTTAACCTCTCCAAGCCTCCGTTTTCTCATCTGTAAAATAGAAAAAATAAGAGTTAATGATAATAAAACCTGTTGTAGTTATGTGTCTCAAAAGTTTTTGGAGGGTTAAGTGAAATCATATAATAAGTGTGAAAGAATTTAGGAAGCAGTAAAGCTGTATATAAATATGTGATACTGTTTTTATTCCTCTCTCTGACCCATATTATCATCACAGTTTTCCTCTTGGCATTTATTATTACCTTGGCTGACAATTTATCTTCTCCTGATGTCCATTATTTTGCCTTTTTACCAGAGGTTCATTTCTCATGGATCCGTATCTTTGTGCTTGCTGACCTGTGCTCTACACCCTGTGGGTTGTACTTTTTGGCAAAGAGGTAGTCCTAATTTTAGGCTTTCAATCAGACCCCAAACTGAGCTTGAAATCTGTGTGCTGTTTGCTGGTTGTACTATATATGTGTGACTCATCTGAGACATCACCTTCTTTGGGAAGCCATACTGGAACCTTCCATTCTGGCTTAGGTATGCTCTCTGTGCTTCCATAGCACCTAGATTTGTCTCTGTCACAGTGCTCTTCCTTCTGTATTGCAATTGTTTGGTCTCCTATTAATCCAGACTAGAGTATGAGGAACTTGAGGTCTTTTTAAACTTCATATTCCCAGGGTCTAGCACAATGTCTGGCACATAGTGGGCACTCTGTAAATGTTGACTGAAAGAACAGTGTAGTAGATTACAGTTAATCACATAAATTAGCATTGACTGAACTGTTAAATTAGGAAAATTGCTCATACCTTTCAACTTGAGGTGTTAAGACTTCCTAAAGGATATGATTTACTTTGAAGTGGGGTTCTATTCTTTTTTTTTTTTCCGCCCCCTGGGGTTCTATTCTTTTACTTCTACTTCAAGCTTTTTGAAAGACCTTCCTTCTCTCATCTGCATTTTCTACCTTCACTTCCTAGTTTATCCACAGCCTTTATTCTTATGTCAATTAATTGCACTGAACCATCAAAACAATTTCTTAATTTTCCTCTTTTAATCTTTTTCTTGTTAAACTTCTATGTTTTCCATGCTTATTACTGATATTTCCTATTCTCCAAGAGGCATTTTATCATCAGCCATTCTTCTCTTAGTATAGTGAGTGAGTAGAGCAGAACTAAATTTGAATTGTGATTCTCATTTGTTTGTTGGGTTACCTTTGGCCAGTCACTTAACTCTTTTGAGCTTTTGTTTTCTTACCTATAAAAATGGATCTAATACCACTTACCTTGCGAGATCTCCTCACTTAATTTTCACAAGAATGGGCATGCCTGGCACATAACAGATGCTTGATAAATATTGCTTTTCCATCTTGTTGTCTGCATAATCTTTCTTGTTGTTTGCCAGAACCCATTTTACATTATGAGCATGATTTATTTTCTAGGCTGCCATGAAAGGGAAAACTGGGCTTTTTAGGAAGCAGGAGAAATTCTTTCTTTTGTGACTAATACCATTGGAGGGAATAAATAACGTTGATTCACCTAGTGTAAGCTGTTGCTTTCCAGACTTTCACTGACTAGACCAATGGAAGGAAAATTTAAGTTGATGAGAAATTTATAAGTAATTAGAAAATGGTTTTCCAACCTATAAAACTGCTTTTTATTCATCACTACCCTCCTCCCTAGCTAAATTAATATTAAATTCTATAGTGTGTTTTTAATGCAATGAAAAGAATGCTGGATTTTGAAGTTAGGCATTATTACTTACTGTGTTATTGTCCTTCATTGAGAGAGAGAGGAAGGGAGAGAGGAAGAGGAGAGGCTTTTCATGCATATTTCATATGGCTGCTATAAGGATTTATTGCTAAGCTAAATGAAAATTTGTGAGATCAGTTTACAGTATTGTCAGAAGACCAGCAAAACCAAGAGTTCTTCAAGCTAGGTCTTGGGAGTGGGAGAGGAGCTAATGCTGAGGGCTGAGGGAAACTGCTGCCATGAAGATCCATTCACTTACTGAGAATTTGTTAAATATTGGCCACTAGACACACATGATAAATAAGACAAGGAACCTGTCCAAACAAACACATCTTGTAAGCTTGTTCCTAATATTTTCAATAGCTATTTATATTATGTCTAGCTCTTTGTGGTATGGTAGCATAAGTAACAACCATTTTAAAAAAATTTAATACGGGACCTTTAAAGTGCTCTAATCTGGAGCAGATCCAGGAACTTGAAGGTCTTTGAAAGCAGGACATCAAGAGAGAAGGGCATGACAAAATCCTGTTTAAAATCTGTGCTAATTTTAATTTTCACTTTCTTCCTTTCCACCCTTTGCTTACCTTTTTGTTAAACTCATTCTTGTTCAGATACACCCTGTTGTTACCTTTCTAACCTGGAAGTATTGGTCTTCAGATTCCTAAGAGATAAGTTATTAATAACTTTTACTTTGCCCTCCCTTTTCCATACTCCTGGCAAAACAAAATCAGAAATGCAGTGTTTTGTAAATTGGCCATATTTAAATAATGTTCTAAACTTCACTCAAATTCATTTATAACACAGATTATAAATATTCAGTGTTTCCATAGACATTTGTATCTCTAGCCCACGTCTTTCCTAAACTCTGGACTCATATATTCAACTGTCTGTCTTCTCTTAAAAATCTACTAGACATCTCAAGCTCAGCATATGCGAAACTGAACTCCTGATCTTTCTTCCCGGACATGCCTTCCTCATCCCAGTTATTGACAACTCCTTTGCTAAGGCTGAAAACCTTGGAGTCATCCCGGATTCTCTTTCTCTTCTACCTCGCACCCAATCTGTTAGAAGATCCTGCTGCCTTTACCTTAAATACAGAGGGTGCCAAAAAAATGTAAACACATTTTAAGAAAGGAAAACTGCATTAAAATTGTAATACTCAATATATACCAATAACAAAAGATGAATACAAGTCACGTTTGACTTCTGCAATTATAAGAAGTGCTCAAAGTGGTTACCATCAGTGTCCAGACACTTCTGATTACGGTGAACTACTGCTTGAGCAACGTTGACCAAAGTGTCCACTTGTATACATTTTTTTGGCACCCCTGGTATATCCAGAACTAGCTACTGTCTTCTCTAGTCGTCATCATAACTCTCCTAAATAACTGCAATAGAGTTTTAACTAATCCCCCTGCTTCAATGCTCATATCCTTACATCTCTTCTACTCATAGCAAACAAAGTAACTCTTTTAAAATAAAAAGGATCTTGTGTCACACCTCTGCTTAAAACCTGTAACAGCTTACCTCCTCATTAACTCAGAGTAAAAGCTAAAATTCTTACAATGACTTACAAGGCCCAACATAATTTGGCCTTCTGTTAACTCTTCTACTTCATCTCTTTATTCAAGCAAGTGGCCTTCTTGCTTGAGTGCAAATATTCTAGGCATGCTCCTACCTTAGCACCTTTGCACTAGCTGTTCCCTGTGCCTGAGATACTTCTCCCCAAGGTATCTGCGTGAGTAACTCTCACATTCTTCACATTTTTGCTCACATTTCACCTTGTTAATAAGGTGAAATAACCAGTCTTGAATACTGCAGCCTGTTTACTCCCACTTCCCTCCCGACCTCCCTTTTCTGCCTCTGCATTTTCTTTTTACCTTAACACTCACCACCTGATGAGATACTAATTATTTGACTTATTTATTATGTTTCTTTTTTATTGTCTATCTTCTATTAGCGTGTAAGCCTCACAAGGGCAGGAGTCTGTTTTTGTTTACTGCTATATCCCAAGCACCTAGAACAGTGTTCGTGACTTAATACGTACTCTAAATATTGATTGAATTCAATGAAAAGCAATATTATTGGACTCCAAAATCCTCAAATAGTAACATCGTCTACTATTTGTTTTAGACTGGTGTTACGTAAGTCAATTATGTAGAGGGGATCATGAGTTATTCTTACTGATTACTTAATAGGTAGAAAGAATCAGCAATCCAAGACAGGGAAATAGAAATACGGCAAATGATTTTGTATAGGTTTTTCATATATTAAAGACATGGCCCTGAGGCCTGAGGCTTCCTATCTTCCTGTCTTAGGGCATCTGACTGGAAATTAGACCAGCCTGATTGGACTGGTCGCCTCCGAATCACTTCAAAAGGGAAGATTGCATACATCAAACTTGAAGATAAAGTTTCAGGTAATCTATGCTGGTGACTCTAACATATTAAGGATATTGGTTTGGTGTGCTTTTATAAGTACTTTTAAGTTGGGGACTGAAATGGAAATACTTGTTAATTAGAGTTTTAGATTTTTGCTTCCTTCGCTCAAATAAGTCTTTCTCTTACCTGTCAGGGGAACTCTTTGCTCAGGCACCAGTAGAACAATATCCTGGTATTGCTGTGGAGACAGTGACAGATTCCAGCCGCTATTTTGTAATTCGGATCCAGGACGGTACTGGTAAGGGATCTGGGATTTGGAATGGGATGAGATTGGGAAAATAGTTAATGCATTCAATAAAAGTGTGTCCTGATCTTATTTATCTTCAGTTTACTAAATTTTTCCTCCCCTTTCTCCAAAGTTAACTATAGTTATGAAAGAGAAGGATTAACGTGTTATTTGTAATAGACATGAACACAAGTTTCAGACATGGTAATTAGTAGGTAAATGTAAATAAATAAAAAATATGTATCTAACAAAATGATTTACACTTATTACCCATTCATTGTTTGTAGTGGTTTTTGGTGGGACCATCTTAAGTTATCTATGTCTAGGCCAATCATTATCTCTTCTCCATAGTCTATATCAGAGGTTGGCAAAATTTTTCTGTAAAGGGACAGATTTTTAGGTTTTGCAGGCCACACGTCTCTCTTGCAACTACTCAGTTTTGCTGTTGTAGTGTGAAAGCACCATAGATAATATGTAAACAAATCGGTGTGGCTGTGTTTCAGTAAAACTTTATTTTTTAAAAAGCTATGGCAGCATTTGGACCACAGGCTGTATGTAGTTTGCAGACCCCTGGCCTGTGAGAAGATGATTCACATTGCCAGACTTTAGGTAGGGTAACTGTTATATTTTCATTGGATAGAATTTGCCCTAGGGACACTTCCTATTCTGAGTATTCCTGTCTTTTTCTCCTAGGGCGAAGTGCTTTCATTGGCATTGGCTTCACAGATCGGGGTGATGCCTTTGACTTTAATGTCTCCTTGCAAGATCACTTCAAGTGAGTGAAGCTCGTCCTTAGTTACCAGGTTAAATGGTTTAGGGAAAGGTGCTTCTCAGTTGAATGGGCACTGTCTCTTTCACCTTCTTTTACCGTCTTTATTTGGTAAATAAGTTTATAATGAATATAAACCTTCCCATTGATCCTTTGTCCTTACATTATCTTTGTATCTTTTTATCCTTTCCTTGTAGCCCAGAATATGTTTTTGATCCCTTGTACAGTGGTTTGAGATGATGCTATTATTTATGCTCTGGGGATGCCTTTGCTTTTAGGTGGCTGAGAGAGGCATACGGTAACAGGGCTGTATGTGACATATGTGGGAAGTTACATGCCAGTTTTGTTACTTTATGTAGCTGACATGTTTTGTGCCTATTGCAACCTTTCTTCAGCCCATCTGACTTTGGCGTAGCTGTGGTGGACAGCACCATGCACACTGTCAGCTTCCTATCTCAAGGACACATACCCCTGCTTTTCTGCCTCAGAACTCTCTGAAATTGTGGTAGGTCACTTAGTTAACACAGGCGTACAACCTGGAAGGACCGAGGAGTAACACCCTCTCAGGGACAGCCCTCAACCAGGGGGATGGGAATTGGTGACTAAATGCCCTCCTTTGGAGGGACAAGTTTAATACACATTATGTTTCATTCCTCCGTGGTATTGAGCCCCAGTTGCCGTCTTTCTTGGCTTTTTTTTTTTTTTTTTCCTTTTTCAACTCTTCATGTTCCCTCACTCTGCTTTCTGGAATCCTGTTTTGCACAAATTAGCTTACACTCAAATTTGTGTGTCAAACCCTGCTTTCAGGGAATCCCAAATTAAGATAATTAAGATAACTTACTCTTTTATTGAAGGTGGGTAAAGCAGGAATCTGAGATTTCCAAAGAATCTCAGGAAATGGACACTCGTCCCAAGTTGGATCTGGGCTTCAAGGAAGGACAGACCATCAAGTTGAGTATTGGGGTGAGTATGGTGGTTTTTGCCTCTTCTTTCTGTATTTTCATAAGCCTGTGACTTCCCTTTTTTTTCCTCTCGCTCTCCTTCTTTTTCTTCTTTTGTAGAACATTACAACCAAGAAAGGAAGTGCTTCTAAGCCCAAGACTGCAGGGACTGGGGGCCTAAGCTTACTCCCACCCCCACCTGGAGGCAAAATCACTATTCCCCCACCTTCCTCCTCAGTTGCCATCAGCAATCATGTCACTCCACCACCCATTCCAAAATCTAACCATGGAGGTAGTGATGCAGGTAAATCTCTCTAGTACTTTTAATTTTCAGAAATCATATCTTAGGTTGTAATTGGATAACACCTGTTTGCCAAGGAAAGTGTTGATATTTTTGTTATAAAATGGCACTTGGTGCTGACAAAGTGATGCTGGCAAGAGATCCAAGCTTTTCTAGTGGACTGAGAGTTATAGTATCTGGTAGGTTCATTGGCAGAAAATGGGTGGATATTAAAAAGACTGTTTCCTTCATTTGTGCCTTGGTTAGGTGCTAGTAGTCCTGAGAATCAGATGGACCAAAATTTCAGTCATGGCTCTGCTCCTTTACACCTGAATGTGCTTGGTAACGTTACTTAAAATTCTCTGAGTTTCAGTATCTTTATCTGCAGAATAGCGATGTAAAACCACCCAGGATTGTGAAGGTTAAATGATGTGAGAGCATCTAGCACAGTACTTGGAATATAGTAACCATTCAGTAAATGTTATTTCTTAATCTTTTTCATTTCTTCACCAGGGCAGTTGGGACAAAATGAGACATCTGGGTTTGTGAATGCATTTTTGTTCTTCCTTACTATCTGGTGGGAAAAAGAATAGATATATTTACATTTAAAGAATGCAAACATTAGAACTCAGAAAGGAATTTTCCTAAGACTAGAGAACCATAAGTGTCACCAGAAGGTGCTGGAGATAATATCTAAGATTTATTTTTTATTTAAAAAAATTTTTTATTTTGAGACAATTGTAGATTCACATGAAGTTATAAAGGTAATACAAAGAAATCCCTTGTACCCTTTACCCAGTTTCCCTCAATGGTAGCATTTTACAAAACTATAATATCTCAGCCAAGAAATAGACATTGATACTGTCTACTGCTCTTAGATTTCAGCAGTTTTACGTGTTCTCATTTGTTTTTGTTTGTTTTTGGTGAGGTGGGGTTCTCAGAGAGTCACCAGGGTGTGATGAGTGTTCATCAGGTTAATGTAGATTCTGGTTTGGTGCCAGTGCTGAGCCTTGAGCTACTCAGCAAGTCTCAGAGCACACCAAGGCCAGTGGCTGCCCATCTGGGGCCAGCAGATCCCCCGAGAGTTATCTGAATAAGAGTGCAATGTGTATGGGGCTGGCTGCTCTCCAAGAAGGTTCCTCAAGCATTGCAAGAGTTAGGTTGGTCAGGGTCCAGGGAGTAACCAGGGTGCAGCGAGTGGCTGGAGCAAAGAGTGGAGTTTACCAGCCAATGCAGATTCAGATTTGGTTGTGTGGGGGAGGGCTCAACACAGGAAAGATGGCGCCCACCTTCTGGCTGCACGAGAGGAGAATTCTATGCTGGGAAATGGCAATTGTCCCTCTAGTCCTTGCCCTGAAGCCACTCAACTCAGTCTCTCTCTGTATGTCTCTGACACCTTCCGAGTCACTGTCCCTCCACCAGAGCCCGGGATGAGTGCCTGCTATCGAGTGAGTCTGTGCCCCAGCCCTTTTAAGAGGACATTTGTATTTCCCACAGCTTTCTCTCTCACCCGGATGATCAGAGTCCCCACTGTTTTTTCACAGCCAGATGTTGTGGGGGCTCCTCTTCCCAGCACCAGTACTCCAGACTAGGGAGTGTGGTGTGGAGTTGTTACCCTTTGCTCCTGGGGAGGGGGGAATCTCTGTGGCTGAGATATCTCTTCCAATTCAGAATCACTACACACAAGTGTGTGGCAGGCCTGTTTCATGTCTCTAACCCTCTTACTGTTCTTGACTTGGCTTGTTCTTTATATCCTTAGTTATACAATTTCTGTTCAGCTAGACCAGATAGTTCTCCAGTTTGATTGTTCTATAATTTAGTTGTAATTTTGATGTGGTCATGGGAGGAGGCAAGCATAGTGTTTTATCTACAGCTTTACGTGTTCTCATTTGTGTGTATGTGTGTATTTAGATCTGTGCGGTTGTATTGTGTGTGTGTGTTTCTGGATCCATCACCACGGTCAGCATACAGAACAGTTGTATCACTACAAGGATCCCTTGTGTTACCGTTTTATAACCATTCCTCCCTCCCTCTCTCCCAGTTTCTTCCCCTCTGCACGCTCCCCGCTAGTCCCTAATCTTTGGCAACCACTGATCTGTTCTCCAGCTCTATAATTTTGTCACGTCAGGAATGTTATATAAATGGAATCACATAGTATATAACTTTTTGGGATTGGCTTTTTCCACTCAGCATAATTCCCTTGAGATTCATCCAAATTGTGTATATCAGTAGTTTCTTCCTATTTATTGCTGAGTAGTATTCCATGGCGTGGATGTACCACAGTGTGTTTAACCATCACCCATGTAAAGACATCTGGGTTGTTTCCAATTTTTGGCTATTACAAATAAAGCTGCTGTATACAGATTTTTGTGTGAACATACGTTTTCATTTCCTGTTTCTTTTTTTTTCTTCTTTTACCTTGTATTCAGATATCCTTTTAGATCTGGATTCTCCTGCTCCTGTCACCACATCAGCACCAGCGCCAGTTTCTTCAAACAATGACTTGTGGGGAGACTTTAGCACTGCGTCCAGGTATGGGTGTAATGAAATCCACATACTCTCAGCCAGGATATAGACGATATGTACAGTCAGATGAATCTTTGATCAGGGCATTTATAGGTCATAGAGTCTGTGGCATGAATTCTAGGTAAGGAAGTATAGGAGTGCTGGGGATGGTGAGATGAGAAAACTGTAAGATGAAGTTGGAGGGGGATATTTCAGGCCTCGGTAAGTAGAATTGCTGTGAAATTTCAGAAATTCTGGGCAGCGATTTCTTTGAAACTATTAAGTAAAGAATGGAGTAGCTGTCCTAATACTATGCCTTTGGCTTTCTCTCTGTTCTGTCTTGCAGCTCTGTTCCAAACCAGGCACCACAGCCATCTAACTGGGTCCAGTTCTGAATAGCATTGGCAGGACATTAAGGACAGACTTGAAGAATAAAAGTGACCTTGAGGGCACCAATCTGTGAGGGAAGTTAGGAATCCCTTCTCTCCCCAGAACCAAAATTACTGGACAATCTTTCATAGCTTTGCTATTGCGTTCAAGCTGGTTTATGTTACTCCCCTATGTTGTTACTTGCTGTACAGCCAAGAAAGTATCTCTTACCTACTCTTCATTATCAAGGCAGGGGAGTAGTGGGTCTTATCATACTTGTGGCTGACAATGCAGGGCTTAAAAGGCCAGGGTCTCTGTGAGAGAAATGAGCTCTAACATCTGCGTAATTTTTCTCCATCTTTTCAATTCTTTAATATATTTCACAGTCACCTCATGACCCTGTGTACCTCTTTGTGAAGCCCTATTTAGCAATTTCAGGAGGGACAAAAACCTTGAAACTTTTTTTCCTGCTAACCCAAGACTCTGAAAATGGACAGACTGACCTCAGTGTTTACAAATTTAGAAATTTGATAGGGATGGAAATGAAGAAAGACCTGTTCCTTGGGTCTCTGCTATATGTCCTCCTTCAAGCTTATCCAGTTCAGTGAACATCTAGTGCTGGGTGCAGCTCCATCACCCTCTCATGTGTTTACATGTCTTTTCCTATAATAAGAGGGTTGTGTTGGTGGCGCCTCCACTATTCTTTCGTTTGTTGAATAGTGCAACATCTTTGATCAGTGGGTGTCTCTTGGATGAAGGAGGTTCAGGGAGCTGTGTTTTCCAAGTTATATTCTGGAGAAGTGTTTACAGTTAATTAAGTCCTCAATGTCGTCAATAGGTTTTGTGACTTTAAACGACTTAAAACAAAACCAGTTTTATCGTAGGCTAATTGATATAAAAAGAGTTAAGTTCCTGTGGCATATCATCAACAATATGACAAAACGACGTTATTGGAGGACCTGTACTTTCTTGCAGCTCCATCTAATTGCCACACTTGAAGCACCACTTTACTTTGTATTTGTCCCATTGTTTGACCTAAAGTTGAGGGTTTAGAATTTTTAACCTGATGTGTAGAGCAAAGAGGTTGAAAGCACTTGACTCTTGTTCAGTACCCACATTGCCTTGCTGCCTGGGTATTTGGCCCCTTTTCATAAACATTTACTTTTCAATCCATCTACAATAGCTCTTCAATTGAAAGGCTGCTTTATATGTATTGTCATTTATGAAGGAAACTGGAGAATCACAGCTTTACCTGTGGCAGCTTTGGTACCCATCACCCAGGGTATCTCAAAAGCAAGTTGCTCTCCCATCACTTACCTTTTCCTCTGCCCCACCATTCCTTTTACGATGCTGTGAAGAGAGTTCCCTTTCTTAAATGATTGGGCACTATCTATTTTGTTTGCTAATCGGCGATTTTGAGGATGAAATGGGAGGACATTATTTCTTCCCTTAGCACCTATTTGGATGTGTATACTCTGGCTGAAGGGAGTCCTTATATTTAGTTTCAAAATATATTCTCTGTCCTGGATTTCCTTCTTGACTCTTTTTAACTTTGGGTCCACCGTTTTTCCTTGCCTCCACTTCCTGGCAGCTCTATTCTTACAGAGCCATGGCGGGGCATTTTAAAATTCCAGTAGAAAACACTAAAAGGAAAGTCTATAGAATCACTAGTGACTAACTATTGGGAATCTATTTTCTCAATCTTCCTCCATGTTGTGTTCTTTGTATTTTCAAGATGATAATATATTATGTATTTGAATTGCTGAAAAATTGATAATGAAGTTTAAGATATATGTATATAAAGCATATGCTGTATTGGTGCAATAATGGTAATTAAAAGTATGGAAAAAGGTAGTGTCTCTTTTATCTTTTAATTTGCCTGTTTCATTACCTTTTTTATTTAATTGATCCAATATAAATGGGCCAGTAGGTAATAAAAGGACATTTTTATAGCTATTATTCTTTTTCGAGAAATAGGAGCTTTTAAGAAGTTGAGGTTACACCTCTGCTCATGATTCTAAACCCCCAGAGCAATCCTCATAGAGATTACTTATATTCTATTTATTTGCTGGTACGGTTCATTTCATTTGCTTCCAGTTATCATGTTCTAGGCCACCTCTCACATCCTAGAATATAATCAGCATAAATGAAGGAAATCAGTGTAAGGGACAGAACTGAAGTCAGACTCATAGGCTTTGGAAGCCAGAAGGATCTCGGAGTTCTTATTCAGTGATTGTTACAGGAGAAGAATCAGAANAGAACTGAAGTCAGACTCATAGGCTTTGGAAGCCAGAAGGATCTCGGAGTTCTTATTCAGTGATTGTTACAGGAGAAGAATCAGAAGAATACGGGGTCTTGCTTTTTTTTTTTTTTTTTGTAAAGTAACACATACTGCCGTGTCCAGAGATTCCAATATACCTCCCCGTTTCCTCTCCTAGGGTAGGAATTCACTAGCTTCCTCAGCCGTGGTCTTTCTTACATTGCTCAGGTGTGAGGCACTGTCACTGATAGGAGTCTATCCTAATCCTCAGGTTTTGTTTGGGGAAAAATGTCGTCAATCAGGTATGCATTGACATCTGCCTTGATGGTTGACGTGAACCCTTATTATTCCTCACTTCCTCCGTTCTGATAAGCTAGTAGTCAGCTTGTCTGTAGCTTTCTTAGTTCCAATTCAGTTTACATGTTGCCACCAGAATAATCTTCCTAAAACCAACCCTGCTTATGCCCTTTCCTCCCCTACTCATTGCTTTTAATGATTTTCCTTTGCTTGCAGAATGAAGTCCAAAGTACCATTTCATCCTCAACTCTCAGTTTTCCCTTTTACTCACAATATGCTCCAGCAAACCAGGATACTAGTCATTCTTCAAATGCCATCAGCACTGTGAGCACCGAATGCTTGCTAAAATTCTCTCTGCTTAGAATACCTTCCCCTCCATGCCTGCCTGTTGAAATCCTTCCCATCCTGTAAAGCCAGCTCAAATACCCCTTCATGGGGCATACCTATCCTTTCACCCCGATCTCACTTGTTTTCTTTGGGTTGCTGTTGAATTTCTCTTCCTTATTTGTTTGTAAGCTCTTCGAATATAAGGACCATGTCTTCATTTTTATCTGCTCACCATACTTCCCATATATCTTTGTAGAATAGATAGTAGATGCTCATTAACTACTTGTTGAATTAATAGTGATTTCAATGAAGAAAGACTAGAAAGGGTATTTTCCTTTTACTCAATCTCACTTGGATTGTTCCTAGTTACATGATACAAGTATTCCTCATATGCTTTGTCATAGTTGCAGAAAATCTCATTTATGTGCTCTAGAGTCATTCAGCATTAGAGATCAAGAAAGCAGTGGTGAAGACACTTTACTTTGGTACGTAGACTATGGCCTGGGAAAAGGAAAATTGGATAGTGTGTAGCACAGCTGCTGATAAATTTGGTAGCTTCCTGTCTTGTTTTAATGATCATAACTGGCTAAAGAGTACATTGCACTTTAATTTGGTTTTATTTTCTAGCTTTTGAAAAAATCATTTCTATTATCGCCTCTTTACACGAAGAAAATTACTCATGGTTTCTGACTATAGAACTCCAACTCAAGCTTTTCCCATCAGTCACATATTCTGTTGAGAAAGAAAGGCAAAAGAGTTTATTTGTAGGTCCCTTAAGCCTGGAGGATGTATAGGCTTGTGATGGTTTTCACAGCAATTTTATGATCTGGCATTTATTTCAAAAATTTACAAGAATTGCTATTTTTGGACCTCTTTTGAAAGAAATCAAGATATAGGGATGGTGTCCCTTAAAAAAAAAAAAAAAAGCTCTGGCATACTGGAATTGCCTATATCTGAGCCAAGAGGAAAATAATTGTTCATTGTGACCTCATGTTCTGTCCTATCAATCTAAAGATAGTGTTCCACTCAAACACACTAATGCATTAAGACCCATTATGGATTTGTAAAATTTTGCTTTTTAATATTTTCTTTTTTCTTATCGTGTGCTCTGCCACTGAACATATAATAGGAAAGAAATGTCATTGGAGCACTCTTGAATGTTTTATGTAGCTGCATATCAGCATGGGGCCACTAGAGGGTGTGCTATTGTAGCAACTCTAGCACAACTGTAGGAAATGCTCAGACTTCCTGGAGGTGGGAAGCAGTTAAAAATAAAGACATAAATGAAGACTGTCAAAGGACATTTCATCTATGGTGTCTAAATGTGCACTGGGAATGTGGAAAAATAGCTATTTGGATAGGCAGAAAATGAAGTATAGAATAATACTTCCTTCAGACTTTAATACTTAAATATTTGAATGGGGAATATACTAATAAATTTTGATGACCTTCCCCGGCCCCCCCCCCTCCCCCTCTCCCCGGCCCAGTTCCACCAAAATAAATGATTAGTGGGCACTAAAGAGCAGTGTTTATGAGCATGGGTTTGGGAAGACACGGATTGCCTTGGTAAAAAAGTTTACTCTGCTACTTACAGGCTTTTTGACATTAGACAAGTTATTTAACCTTTGTATGCCTCAGTTTCCTCATATGCAAAATGAGGATAATAGGTCCTACTTTATAGGATATTTTGACAATAAAATAAGTTAAAAATTTAAAGTGCTTAGAACAGGGCTTGGCACATGGTAAACTATAATATTGTATGTTAGTGCTACTGCTGCTGCTGTTTGGCTTGGTGTGCTAATTCTGGCTACCAGAATATGCAATAAGATGGTAAGTATATGGACAAAATGATGGGCTTTCCATTTTAAAATATTTAATTTTTGAAATGTAACTGACATATAACATTGTATATGTTTAGGTGTACATGTTGATTTAATACATTCATATATTGCAATATGATTACCACCATAGTGTTAGATAACTGTCACATCACATAATTATTTTTTTTTTGTGGTGGGAACAATTGAGATCTAGTCTCTTAGTAACTTTGAGGTTCATAATACAGTATTGTTGTCTGTAATGGCTATGCTGTACATCAGATCTCTAGGACTCATGTGTTTACTGGCTGCAAGTTTGTACCCTTAAACCACATCTCCTCAATCCCCCGCCTCCCTTCTCCCAGCCCCTGGTAACCACCAATCTACTCTGTTTCTATGAGTTTGGCTTTTTTAGATTTCACATATAAGCAAGATTATAGAGTATTTCTGTGTCTGACTTATCTCACTCAGTCATACCCCGAAGGTCCACCCCTGTTGTGGCCAATGACAGGATTTCTTTTCTCATGGCTGAATAATACTCTTGGATACTTATACCATCTCTTTACCCATTCATTATAAATTAACACTTACGTTGTTTTCATATCTTGGCTATTGTGAATAATGCTGCAGTAAACTTGGGAATGCATATCTCTCTTTGATATCCTGTTTTCATTTCCTTTGGATATATACCCAGAAGTAGAATTTCAGATTATATTGTAGTTATATTTTAAATTTTTTGAGGAACCTCCATTCTGATTTTCATAGTGGGTGTACCAATTTGCAATCCTACCAACAGTGCACAGGTGTTCTCTTTTTTCCACATCTTTGTCAACACTTGTTATCTCTTGTCTTCTTGAGGATAGCCATTCTAAGAGGTGTGAAGTGATGTTTCACTGGTTTTGATTTGCATTTTCTTGTTAATGACTGGTGTTGAACATCTTTCCATGTGAGTGCGCCCCAAACATCACTCCTGTCAGTCTGAGCCTCAGAATGGAGTTCCTTTTTCCCTCTTTTCTGGGACTTGAATGATGTGTAGATTATTTGTCTTAATGGTTTTCTTTAAGTCCTGTAGGCTTTTCCTCCCTTTCCATTATTTTTTTCTTTTTGTTCTTCTGATTGGATAATTTCAATTGACCTGTCTTCTAGATCACCGATTCTTCTGCTTGGTTTAGTCTATTGTTGAAGCTCTCTATTGAATTCTTCAGTTCAGTATTAGATTCTTCGGATCCAAAGTTTCTCTGTGGTTCTTTTTTATGCATGATGCCAGCCTAGTGTGCCAAATGCTGGGTGTGTTGTTGCACTGGATCTGTGGGTGGGGACATGATGTGGTTTCAGCCCAGGCTGTTGAGGTCCACAGCATGGACAATTGTGTGATCCTTGGCGAGCACTGCAGGGGATCTACAGAGGCTGTAAGGGCTTTCAGGATCCTCAGCAATGCTTCTAGGTCCAGGGCTAGAGACCAGGGCAGCCAGTGATAGTGGCTGGAGCCAGTGGTGTGTGCACACTTGTTTGTGGGGACCAGCTATAGGTGCCTGTGGAGTGGCTCTGACCAGTTGCAGAAACACACATAATGGTGGGAACCAGGGCAGGCAGCAAGGCTGGAGCCAGCTATGGGCTCGCTGGCAGATATGGGAGCCCTGGCTGTTGGTGTGCTTTCTAGTAGTTGCGTAGTTTCCCCCTCGGGGTGTGTGCACTGCAGTGGTAGCTGGTGCTGGAGAGGCTAGCCTCAAGTGTGTACATGGTGTTTGGGGTCACCTGCCGGGGTCTGTGCTGCCATCTTGTGTTTGTGCAGCTGCAAAGGCCTGGGCTGGCTGCTGATGTGGTTCAAAGGCTCCAGTGAGGGTTGAGGTGGGGGTGTTAGAGGGAGTAGGGAGGGACTCAGGTGAAGGCTGAGTGAAATCTGCAGGTGGTCCATTGAAGTGCTTAGTTTCTGCAGTGGTGAAATCTGCTGGGTTTGTCTGCAGAGCAGATCACCGAACTTTGATCTCTCCTGCTCTATGGCTGATGTTGGTAGCCCCTGCTTTTTTTCCTTGTTCCTAGCCATCTCTTTGCATCTCAGCTTTGCCAGTGAGGTGAAACTGAAGCAGGAGCTTTTGAAGTTCCTTGAAATGGTAAGGAAGTTGATCATTCACCCAACAATTCCTTTCTCAG